ATCAGTCAGTGAGGAGGCAAATGTAATAATGGATGTTTGGGAGAACAGAGAACCATGTTTTTTTTTTCACCGTAAAAATAAGCTAAGTGTGTGCCGAATGCTCAGTCTCTCCCCAAACGTAGCGTCAATGGTTGGGACCTTATGCAAATGTTACCAAACTTATCGTTATCTAAAATAAAAGTTGCAAGCGATTTTTGGAAATCTTCAATGAGAAAAAGAGGCTCATGTCCGGCAGGGATGCCATTTGTCTCCCTGAACTTGTGGGCTTCAGGGGCTGCCATTTGCTCACAGAAATGTTTAGAAAATTGCTTATAACTTTTTACCCAGAAGACAGTAAGTTCTAAAACTTTTGCATCTGGTCCCGAACGCTGGTGCTACATCTGAACAAAAACTGAGCGTTAGGAGACGCAGCTGTAAAAAAACCATGTGTCTCTTTTCTCACACACAGTATTTCAACTCAACACAGCAATCTGTACATGGTCACTGAGCATGACATTTACATGCTCTGAATCATGGCACATACCACATGCTATGTAGAAGAGCAGGAATGTGGGCCTCCTTCATAATGAGAGGGAAATGCAGTACCTGGGAGACACAAGGCAAAACTGGTCTAGAAGAGCGTTATATCTGAAGAGAACTACACGGTGTTCTTGAGCACTATTCAGCTGTTAAGGGATATCAATTGCCGAGTGGGCTAGCGCACACCAGCTCGGAGCATGTGGAGCGCAAGCGTGCGCTGCAGAACCCAGGGATTCTGGGTTCAATCCCCACCCCTGCCAGTTTCAACCCGGATGAGCATCATACCGGCGTGCGATCGTGTATCACTACTGCGTGATGCACTTTAAAAATTCCAGGCTAGTGATTGTATGGCACTGGCTAAATTTGTCATCTACAGCTGGGAGACAAGTCACCCGCTAAGGCAGAATAAGTTCTAGGCTACATAAAAATACATACACCCATATTTTTTCTTCAGCTGTTAAAAAAAATTCTTATGAATAAGCCAATGAACATAGTGCAATGAAACTTTTCATAAGTGGTGCATTCATACCTCATCTGATTCAATTTCAGTCAAATCCGATGTACCACAGGGCAGTGTACTGAGACACCTACTTTTTCTCATCTTCATCAATGACTTACCCAGGGGTGAACGCAGGAACTTTCAGGGGAAGGGGGGGGGGGGGGGGGGGCAGGCATATTATATGCTTGAGAAACCCCCCTCCTCCTCCTCCTCCCCCGTTTCCCGGCCGAACAGGACATCCAGATCCCCCTCTGAATTTGCTGCTGGATTTACCCCCTCTAATTTCGTCATCCTTTAGACCGTTTGCTGATGATTGCATTATACAGGGTGTTTCAGAGAACGCAGGCCAAATCGCTCCTGCGAAAACTACTCATCGCAACAAAAAAAGGCTTCTGGCGTTTTGGTCATGGGCCAAGGGCCCATTTAGGAAAATTATTAAAGTTTGGGATAATTAAGTTGTTAATTATTTTTGCGTAATTAACTTTTAGAGCGCAGCTCTTAGGCGCCCGTTTCCGGCTTAAGCGGCGTCGGCGTAGCCGTCGCCGTCGGCGTAATTGCGCGGTGCATTATGGGTAAATTTTCCCGAAGAAAAGGAACCCGAGGTCCTTCGGGAGGACCTCGGGTTCCTTCGGGAGGACCTCGGGTTCCTTCGGGAGGACCTCGGAAGGACCTCGGGTTCCTTCGGGAGGGCCTCGGGCTCCTTCGGGAGGACCTCGGGTTCCTTCGGGAGGACCTAGGAAGGGGTCACGTGACGATGACGTCATCAGTGATGATGACGATGCGGATGCTGATGACGTCATCAGTGACGTCACTGATGACGTCATCAGTGACGATGACGATGGCGATGCGGATGCCAATGACCTCATCGGCATCCGCATCGTCATCGTCATCAGTGATGATGACGATGACGATGCGGATGCTGATGACGTCATCAGTGACGTCGCTGGTGACATCATCAGTGACGATGACGATGGCGATGCGGATGCCAATGACTTCATCGGCATCCGCATCCGTCATCAGTGATGATGACGATGCGGATGCCGATGACGTCATCAGTGACGATGACGATGGCGATGCGGATGCCAATGACTTCATCGGCATCCGCATCATCACCGTCATCATCACTGATGACGTCATCGTCACGTGACCCCCCAGGACCTTGGGTTCCTTCGGGAGGACCTCGGAAGCACCTCGGGTTTCTTCGGAAGGACCTCGGAAGGACCTCGGGTTCCTTCAAGAGGACCTCGGAAGGACCTCGGAAGGACCTCGGGTTCCTTCGGGAGGACCTCGGGAGGACCTCGGGCTCCTTCGGGAGGACCTCGGGAGGACCTCGAATTCCTTCGGGAGGAAATAGGGGGGGGGGGGGGGGGTCACGTGACCCCTCCCTCCGAGGTCACGTGATCTCCGAGGTCACGTGACCCCCGAGGTCTCGTGACCCCCTCCCTTCCGAAGTCAACTGATCCCCCCAGTACCCTTCCCTCCTCCTCCTCAAGAGCTGCGCTCAAATTCGGCGTTACAGGGAGTTGTAAACGGCTTTCATTTTTTTTAATATTGTGTTTAAGGGCATGGTTTAAATTAAAAAATTGCTCAGCATCATTGAAAAACACTAAACCAACAAACTGCAGAAGGATAGAAGGCACGCGAAGCATTTTACGGCTTTCTGAAGAACCGCACAAAATTGACGGGTTTTTAAGTTTCAGTTTGCTAATGGAGCACATCTCAGCCCCGGCGGCACCGCGCCCCGCGGAGAGATGAATGATGGCACCAATCTCTGCCACGCTGTCATCGCGCGACGCAGCAGAGGTTGGTTTCACTATTTCTCCACGGGGCGTGGTGCCGCCGAGGCCGAGATGCGCTCCGATAGCAAACCGAAACTTAAAAACCCGTCGATTTTTTGCGGTTTTTCAGAAAGCCGTAAAATGCTTCGCGTGCCTTCTATCGTTCTGCAATTTGTTGATTTAGAGTTTTTTGATGATGCTGAGCAATTTCCTAATTTAAACCATGCCCTTAAACACAATATTAGAAAAGTTAATTATGCAAAGATAATTAACAACTTAATTTTCCCAGACTTTATTCATTTTCCTAAATGGGTGCCTGGCCCAAGACCAAAATGCCAGAAGCCTTTTTTCGTTGCGATGAGTAGTTTTTGCAGGAGCGATTTGGCCTGCATTCTCTAAAACACCCTGTATACCGCCACATTTCTCACCCCAATGATTCCCAAGTTCTTCAACGAGACATAGACATCCTAGCTGAATGGTGCCTAACATGGCAAATGAATACTAATATTGCCAAAACCAAGGTTGTTTCTTTCAATAGCTCAAAAACGTATGTTCCTTCGTATTTTATCAAATTTATTTCAATTTCACCCGTCCCTTCTTACAAATACCTACCGTAGAATACCGCGCATCCACCCATTCCACATTAAGCGCCCATCCCCAAATTTGTAAGATCTGAGAAAATATGCTCAGTACATTTATATGTAAAATTGATGACCGGACAAGCGCCCATCCCCCATTTTTTGTGATTATTTCTGAAGTTTGAGTGGGCGCTTGCCCGGTATTTTACGGTAGGTATCACTTTCACAGACGACCTGTCGTGGAATACGCACATAGATACCATAATTAACAAATAATCAGAGACTAAGCTTTCTTGGAAGGCACTCATAGCAGGAACGACAGGATCTGAAGATTACGGCATACAAAGCTCTCATCCGATCAAAACTAGAATATGCAAGTGCAATAAGGGCTCCTTAGTGTTACCTAATCAATAGACTGAAGGCAGTTCAAAACAGACCCCCTAGTTTCACTCATCGAAACTGTACTTTTAAAAGTAGTGTGTCCACATAAAGTACTTTTCAAACTAACTTCCCTCAATGTCCGTCGCCAACTGTCTCGTCTTTCTCTCTTCCACAAGTTCTGTTAGTATAACATGCCATCATTCATGCACACCCACTGCAAGCCTTCCTCATACATTTCCCTATGTCATGATCACTCCCTAAAAATTGAACCAATATTCGGTCGCACTAAGAGATTCGAGTTCTCACCTCTTGCACCCTCTATTACAAACTGAAGTTCTCTTACTGACAAAGTTGCTACCGAATGCGATCCTTCTGCATTTTGCGAGAAACGCTTAACTCTGTTTTTGTGATTTTTTATTCTCAATTTACTTTGTTATATTAGTCTTTAATACATGCTACTATTCTCAATGTCTAGTTGTTCTTTTTTTGCCTGCTTAAAATGGTTCATACAGACGTGCGAACATCGCTCAACATGTTAAAATTGTTTTCAAGGAATCTATTTTGCGCGAAATGCCCAACTCCACTTCCATGATTTCCTCCTATTCTCTGTACAGCTCGTTATATTGCTCTTACTAGAACCACCAACGACCATGTCTAACTTTGTTCCGCAAGCCTAAATTTTGCTGACGTAAATTTGTGAACTTTCTTAGTATATTGTAAAAATGTTTTAGACTCTGTTTTCTTTGCACTTCTCATGTTATACATTTCTAGGAATGTCCTTGGTACAATCAACTTGAACTTGAACCTATCATGTTCAGGTTTTGTGAGTGTAAGTTTCTGGAAGGAGATATGCGAGACAAGAAAAACTAATTGTTCCTATGCACAAACATTCCAAAACAGAAACAAACCGCCTGGCCCATGTTGCTGGCTGCTGCACAGATCTGCTTTAGAGTGTTCATCTCAAAAACGTTACAAAGCTTTTTGCTCCAAGAAGTGCCAGCTGCGAGTATTAGCGACAGTCAGACAGTTCGGTTATGTTTTTCTCCCAGCGCACAGGAAAACAAAACTTTTTTCTTTCTTTTTTTTTTGCAGGAACCTAGAGTTACAAAATTTAAGTATGACAAATGCATCCCCTGAAGACACCTCGGTGAAGAGTTTCATTGAACTCCGTTCAGTGGCTTATTCATACAACCTCTTTTATGACTGAATAGGCAGGTGCAAATACCCAAGCTCGGCTGTCCTCACCTGTAGGCCAGAAAATGTAGGCATGCCCCCGCTAGGAGCAGCACGAAGCAACCCACGACAATGTTGATTTTCTGCTGCTTGTTCTCGACGTAGCGTCCCGAAGCATGCCTGAAGGCGCTCGAGTAGTCGGGGGGCTTCTCGTAGTACCTGCCCTGCCGGTGCATGAAGGGGTCCTCCTGCCTGGCAGACAATGGACCGTTGAAATCACGTCAGTTACAACTTTTTTCCCGAAGGCGGGACTTTTGGCTTTCCAGCCGTGAATGTGTGCCATCTACGGGAATCAACAAAGGTGCTGGCTGCAGGATCTGAAGCGCGGTCCAAACCAACACATATTCCGGATTCGCATGCCGGAACACGTATAGATGCCCGTTTCCAGTTCAGACGTCACCGCTCCGTTTATAGGTGTTCCAGCACCGGTATTTGGAGGTAAAATATTTAAACTTTTTCGTCTTCCCCAATGGTGACGCAGGTTACCTGTACTGCAACATAGGCGTTCGTATTGAGGCAGTGGCCAATCATGGAGCACGCTTCCTTCTCACTGCTGATCACGTGCTCTTTGTAACCTTGACGAACGAACCGACGAACGCCTTCGTGTCGCAAACTCGTAGTAGTGTGAGCTTCCCTCACTATGATTTCTGTGAGCGGCGTGAACGTGTTGCACTCACCACGTGCTCTAGTGACGCCACCACCATGCCGCCTCAACGGACAGCGTCTACTCTGCTGGCGTTATTAAACGAAGGATGCCTACTGAAACATCGCCTTCAAATAAGTATTTTTTCGTCTGTGAAATGTGATGTTCATGTCAACTATAGTAGTTTGGGATCAGTCGTGTGGTAAATCAGGTAGTGAATACGATTTCCTCGTCCTACCATTGTCGCACATGGTGGCTTCGTGGGACAAAGTTACAATTGTGCCCATTCAGTTTCGATGACAGGAAGTAAACTTTTTCATCCCACTTCTCCGTTTAGTGCCAAGTAGTGAAGGCACATACTCTGGCCGCCTCGTGACGACGTCGTTCCGCTCGATCGGCAGCAAACTTCGCACCTGAAACCGATCGATGTTGCCGACGTCGCCATGTCGCAGAGCAGACGACGTGCTATTTTCTCGACAGTGAAGGCACTTTACCATTAACCGTGAAGTACCTCCACCAGCTTCTGCCATGCTACATACCCTCTCTCTTTTTACCCGTATTCTGAATAGGCCCATGTTTTCCATACCGCCGTCCAAACCAAACGTAAAATCCCTCTCCGTGTTTCGTGCGCTAAAACAGATAGTTTGTTACGCGTCCCAGCATACGAATGCGGAATTCATGTCGGTTTGGACTGCACTTTACTCTCTTCTCTTTCAATACTTCTAAGTCTCAGAGAGGTGGCTAAGGAGTGTTGCAGATCCCTGTGCTTCTGCGTCGTCTGCCGGTGAGGCCGGAGGACTGTCTGAATGGATTCCCCATTCACATAATCAAGGTGTCTACAAAATTACTTCTTTTGAATTCACCAACTTTTTTGGATTTTCCCCGACACTTTCGATTAAATGACCATCACAAAGGGAAGGAGAATCCGGACACTATTTTGGATTGGTCCGGCGTGCATTAAAAGAGCATGTCTTTGACAGTGGCATCGTCACCATCACATATTTTTCACTTCGAAAACACGACTGCAGAAAACTGAACACGAAAACAAGCACACATTGCACAGCATCCATGGCCCAGATGTTCGAAACCAGTGTAGGTCCAACTCCTCGTGCTTTGCCAAGCATCACTGCCCCACTCTTGTTGGTCATTTTCCCCGACTTGGCCAACTTTTTTACAGTTTCTCAACTTTCCCAGACGCTTTAAGAAAATTCCCACACATTTCTAGATTTTTGGGTTGGCATACACACCCCGAAAATCATCACGAAGCTCACGCACCAATCAAAAAGGGTTAACCGTACCCTATGGTGGGGCTAGGAAGAGAGGCGTGACAACCGCTCGCTCTGCCCAACTAACGAGAGTTTTTCCGCGATCCAATCTGCAGAGCACAGCCTCGTCGGTACAATGCCCAAGCCCCGTCTCTGACTGGTCTGTTTGGTGTCCCGTTCCACCTGTGCATCGAAAGCGGTCCCAAAGAGGCAACAAATGACGTCACAAAAGCCGGAGCGTCATGCCATTAACCCCTTTATGGTCATTGACGTACCTGTACGTCAGCGCGGGAGCATGCCGCATGGTTGCTGACGTACCTGTATGTCCGCGACTGCTCATTCAAAACTTTCTGCCTCTGCTTGAACCGGAGCGTTCGCCAGGACGTGCTGCCATCTGGTAGGTTTCTAGGGAACTACGACCACGTAACTCTGGTCGTGTTTGTTTTGGTGCGGCATTTTGAAATTGCAAGACTGGACGCCCTGTGCAAGTGATACTTTCGATATGGCCGCGCATGCCCGCTGCTCCGGAGGTAGCGTAGGGGAGATTGGAGCGATGGCTCTTCAAGTTCAGACTTTGAGCCCTTCTCGGACTCTCGAGCCGGATGACAGCTGGACATCCGAGAAACAACTGCAAACCAGCTCGGTTCGGAGTCCGGAGTCCGACACACAGGCGCACGTCTGCAAGACAGTCTCGGAAGCGGGCGCGTCGAAGTTTTACTCCTTTTTGTTTTGTTCAGCCTCCAGTGAGTACGCTCCAGATGTTTTGAAGCGTGTGTACTATTTATTTTCAGTCTCAGATTTTTTTAATGCAACAATAAACTAGTGTATCCTCTTTGCTATGGGACCGAGTAAAAAAAACCCGACCACAGGGGTGCGTCTTTGGACAAAAAATGCGACCATAAAAGGGTTAAGTGTCGCGACCCCGGCAGCCGGTCGTAGAACTGTCGGCACAAAACGCGAGCGAACGTCAGTGTTGCCGTCGTCGCGGCGTCCTAATTTTTGACCGCCGAAGCTTTCGCGGACCATCGAGCTTCTGCGGACCATCGGTAAGTCAATGATGGCGGCAGCAGAAGACACGGAAGTGCAGAGAGTGAATCGACGAGTGCAGGCGGGGAGAGAGAAAAGTCGCGTCGCCCTCGGCACGCAACACAGTCTACAGAACGATGCAGTCAGTACCGCGCACCATATGTCGTGGCATTTCACTCTACTTTGGTCGCGATTGTACCTACGTGAAATAAGACAGACAGAAGACCGCACCTCCTCACTTGGTAATGGACCTTCGTTGGCACAGTGAAGAGACCTCTCGCGTCGTGTCTGTTTGTTTAAAACAACATACCACTTCCGAAATTCGGTGCCATCTGGCACAACTCGGGTGGCATTTTAACTTTTGCTGTACTAATAGCGGTATAGCGGATGTATATATATGGTTGGTTTCATTTGAAATCGAACACGCTTGTCAAAGTGGGTCTTTCAATTTTTTTTTTTTTAAATATATGTAGTTGCCCCATTTCTGGAAAGAACAAAAACCACTTTTCAAAATTTTTAAAAAAATATTTCACTTCACAGAAAATTATTGAGTGGAGCAGGGTGAAAATCTGTTCTTTTACTCCGTGATTTTTCTGCCCAGTTCTGTACACTGGTATGAATACGGGAAGCATACAAAACTCACAGTACTTTTTTGTGCTCTTGTATGTTATTTCGACTATTTTTTAGTTTAAAGGAAAATACTTTTGTATTTTTGTTTATTGAGGTACAAAATTTCAAATTTGATAAAAGAAATGGTGTGAAAATAAAATAAAATAAACTTATGCCCGTCGATAGCCCATGCGTAGGGCTATACCCGCATAGTATTTGGTAAGTGACAAACATAATAACTCATGAGTTTCAAGGCTCTGAAGATGTCACCAGATTGTCAAAGAGGCAATGTTTGTCATTTTTTACCTCAATAAACAAAAATACAAAAGTATTTTCCTCTAAACTAAAAAAGTAGTTGAAATAACGTACAAGAGCACAAAAAAGTACTGCGAGTTTTGTATGCTTCCCGTATTCATGCCAGCGTACAGAACTGGGTAGAAAAATCACGGAGTAAAAAACAGATTTTCACTCTGTTCCACTCAATAATTTTTTGTGAAGCAAAATATATTTTTAAAAAATATTGAAAAGCGGTTTTGTTTTTTCCAGAAATGGGGCAATTACATATATTAAAACAAAAAAATCGAAAGACCCACTTCGACAAGCATGTTCGATTTCGAATGAAACCACCCATATAGCATTTTATCGGGCATTGTCACTTTTGCAAGTCTTGTACGGACGAGAATCCGTCTTTCACTGTGCAGTTCTTTCAGTTTTGATGGCGACAGAGATACAAGTGGTTGGGATGAAGCACCCATTCCCAAATATAAACCTTTTGACACATAAACATTGAAAATTTGTATCAATAATAATTCCTGGAGAGGGGGAACAAGGGGAACAAAGGACAAACGGCTTGCGGCACCTTTGCATTAATTGCATTAATCTTGTGAGACTTCGTGTTGTTGCGTCATTCGTCCTTTTTCTCCAGACTCGGGGTTTTGTATTAAAATATGTTGGTCTGACTATCACCAGCTACTTTGAGTCCCAACTTTTTGTTTGATAAAAAATCACATTATGGCTGTAATTTGCTGGGGCCACTAACTAAAATAAAATAAATAAAGAAAAAAGAGAAACCAGCAAGCTTTTTTTAAAAGTGACTCTTCGCTTAGTTATAGTGGATCGTTTTTATGGCTCTTTGCATGTGACTGACTCCCCTGGGCTACACTAAATTCCGGAAGGGGTCCGTTCGTCATAGTCCTCTTCCACATTGTTTAGGTACAGTTTCACCTGTCGAATGGGCGCTGCATGTCGCTTCTGTACGGCTGATAACGTGGGCCCTGAAGCTCCTCATCGTACACCTTTCGATCCCAAGGCTTGCTCAGTACCGTGTACGCATGGTTGAGCTCGGTGAATTTTCTGTGGCCATCCTTCGTCAAACCCTGCTTGTCAGGATGCAGCTGAAAGGAATAACGAGATGGTGTTCAAAGTTTGTACCAAAACGAAAATGTACTATATGTAACACGTGCCGCCACAAACCAACAATGTCATGCAGTAACACTTGGGGGTATGACACTGACAGCCCTAAAAAGTTTTAATGCGAAAGCATTAACTGGTCCCATGTAGCGAACCGACATCATCAGCTTTGAAGCTGTGCCAAAGGGCACCTAAACTCCCCTGTCCCAATGGAGCGAAGTGCAGCCGCGATGTGACGGATAGGCTCCGATTGGCTGGCACACGTCGTCAAGGAACGAGGCTCCCACTGGCTCTTGTGCAGCGTAGTTCCAAAAGACGCCACCAGAGAGACTCTCTCCTAGCAGCGCAGTGCACGCAGCGGCCCGGCTGCTAATAGGAGGTGCAGTGGTGCGGGCCTACTGGCACAGCCCGCTTGGGCAAACTCTGGAGAGGCTACACGGCCGAGCTCAGCGCGGTGCGACCACTTCACAAGAGCGCGCGCTTGGCCGTTGGCCGCTACCTCGGCAGTAGCGAAACGTGGCCGTCCACGCCAGTACGCCGCGGACGAACTGAGAGAGCGGAAGAGCGACATTCATGCTTTTACATTCACAACTCATAAGAAGTACTTTGGTGTCCTCAGACTTTTGTTCTTTGTTTTTGTCCGAAACACTAGATTATGGTGCTAAGACACAATTCAAAATATTTTGTTGCGGAGTCACACTTTTGTCACCGGAGGCTTTTGTGCAGAAAAAAGTAAGATTTCGAGCTGCAAATACTTCTTTCTGGGTAGTCGTAGGCCCTTGTATGTTGTACTTTAGTGCATATCTCGACAATCATTAATACCTTGTGAGTATTCGTTTAAAAGGGTCCCGCACCCAAAACCTGACATTTAACTTTCAGTGGTCGTGTGCTGTAATGCCAATTAAACAAAAAAAGAACAAGTCACGAAATTGCGAGCTTTCGGAAGCAATACCGGCTCCGCATTTTTTTGGATAGCTTGCAACACTGGCCTATGTGGAGTGAAAGTTTGCCTGTTTCTTGCACAGCGGTTGCAGTGCCGTCGGAATGCCGAGCTCTGATTGGCTCTGTTGGAAGAGTAGTGGGTAGACATCAATGCTAGCTGCTTTTACGTCTATCCACTATTGTTTCAATCAGATCCAATCAGAGCTCGGCGTTCTCACATCACTGTAACCCCTGTGCAAGAAGCAGACAAACTTACACTCCGCATAGCTACTCGAAGCTCTATATGAAGCCGGTATGGCTGTCTTCTAGTAACAGGTGGAAGAAACGAGTAACGGTACACATCAACATGCTATTCAGATACAATGATACACAAAATACATAAGGATTTTTAGTTTTCAAGAAGCATTCAACCTCCGAAATCGTAATTAGTTGGTGTGGTTGCACAGCTGATTTGTCTATAAAGTCCGTTCATCAATGTGCTCAAGTCATAGCTGTGCAAATAAACAAGTGTAAGACACGTGAGCACAAATTGCATTTGCACTCATATGGAGGGAAGACTAAAGGCGATGAGCTTGCATCCTTAGCTTTCGCTGCAGACTAAGTGAAGGTGAATGAGCTATGTGGCATGGACAAGTCTATAGCCACCAGGAGGATTTCCATACAGAATAGAACACGATACACCTTTCCAGGAAGAATGAAAAAATAACTGAGACATATCCTGTCCTGTCTGCAACAATTGTGGATGTATATATGCAAGGTTTCTCCCAGCGTGAGATGGATCAGCATACACTAGAGGCAATGCCCTACTCCCGAGTTTGTCAAGGCTAAGGTAAGCACCTCTGGATTACTGAAAAGACGAACTTCATTCTAACCAGGCTAATCTCTTTACAAGTAGCAACATCAGCTGTATCAGAAGACGTGTGTTGTTGGTCCATGTATCTCAACACGAGAAAGCCGCGGGCTCTTATGTAAACATAGGCAGTATTCTTTCGCACGTAAGGATTCATTTGTTTGCTAGTGACGTGTAAAGCAGTATATTCACAGAGTCTTTGAACGGAATGAACCGATCTCCATGCTCACCTCTTTGCACAACTTGACATAAGCATCCCTAATTTCTTTCTGTGTGGATTCCTTCTTTACACCAAGCACATCGTAGTAGTTCTTCGCACTAAGTCTGGAAAAGCAGTATCGAAGCAGTCAGTAGCTTCAGAATATTGTAAAATAAAACGAGACTCTGTGGCCTTCAGGGGCCCGTTCTAAAGCGATCTCACCTGCGTCCAGTGAAGAGCTTCCTAGAGTACCTTGCATGGAGCTGGCAGATGCAGCTCCATTTGATTTTTCGGCCTAACATTGAGGCGCTTGTATATCATTTTTACAAAGCTGACTGGAGACGCTTCGTGGCTGACGACCAGACACAACAACTTCACGAAGAGAAACTCGCCTCCGTAGAGAAGAGAAACCAGAGAAACCAACAGGAGCTGTAGGGGACGAACTGAAAGTTTGAGTTACAATTGTAAGATGGCGCCACGGAACATCAAAATAAAAATTTACGGTACTTAACGAGAGATGGCGCTAGACATCCTGGAAGTTCTGAAATTTTTTTTTCAACATCCATTCATTCCCGACGCGCGGAAAAAAAGAAAGGGGGAAAAAAAAAAAAAAAAGGAAAAAAAAAAGGGCAAATTTGGGTGTGCTTTGTGCGTCTGCCTAAAATGTGACTGAAAAAAAAAAAAAAAAAAAAAAGAATACTGGTTCTTTGATTTTGTGTGGAAGCGACGTCTGGGATCAGGTGAAATGCAGTAGAGCAACCCCCCCCCCCCCCTCCCCCCCCACACACACACACACACACACACAAATTTTCCGTTATTTTTTTACCGCAAAAGGTAAAGGACGCATTGTCAAACGCTCATCATCCGCCCAAATGTAGTGTTAGCGGTCCGAATCAGAAAGTACTAACCGTTTCTTAATAAAAAGTTATATAAATATATTATATTTTAGAACTGGGCGTCGATTAAAATATTGAATAAGATTAATCGCCACTCTTTAATTGATTAATTAATCGATTAATCGGTTTTGTTCATTCCCATGTAGAAAAGCCTGAAAAAAAAATTAAAATTAAATGTTGCTGAATATGTGATAAACGGCGCAATATAATTTCAGGTCTCAAATCAACCTTGAAGCGTTGTTCAGGGTTGTCAAAAGGCACCCACACTCACGCATTATTACTTCAGCCACAGAAGCAAAGAGGTTCGATTGTTCACAACACTGTTTCGGCTGCGCTTAACGGACATTCCCACGGCGTTGAAGTGCCTATGACACGGATAACTTTCTCCACTTGTTTGGTCTAACAAATCTCGCCCCTAGAGTTTACTTTAGGCCGAAACTTTTACCCAAACGTTACCTTCGTGCTGGTGTACTCGTCCATGCATCTGCGTGGTGAAAGCGTTGAAATTTTACTTTTTCTTTATTAGCCAAAATTTAACCGACTAACCGGTGGAAAAAAATTAATCGCGATTTAAGCATTAATCGATTAATCGATTAATGCTTTAATGATTAATGATAGGAATCGAGCTGGCGATTTGGCGAGTGTCATGGTGCGTTATCTAGAGCATTTTGCACTGACTGCTCTGAACTATTTTCGATGTGTCTAAGGAGCTCTTCGTGAACAGTAAAGTGAATGAGTCACGCAACGATGTAATTTATTTCACTTTTTTTACTTTGCTACCGCATACCTTTCGGTCATCGCCGGAAAGGGAAAAAAAATCTGCAACAAACACGCCAGAAAAAAAAAAAAAAAAAGAAAAGAAAGAAAGAAAGTCACTCGAAAAATTTTTTTAGCATGCACACGTAGGGTGGTTGTTCCCTGCGCATCTTCGAAACCTATTTCTACGTGCATTCAGGGATTAATTAGTTACTATTTGACATTATGGAATCTGATGGCTCAGGACTGTGAGCCCCACGCTAGTATAAAGCCCCCCCCCCCCCCCCCCCCCACACACACACACACACACACATACAGACACACACCCCACACAAAGCCCTCCGCTCTTTCCACATATGTAGACCGAGCGTTGGAGAGGAGGCGAGTGGAGAGAAGGAAACCACCAATCATATTGAGCAGAGGTATTTGTGGGCGGGGCGTGTCATGCTATTTAACAGATGGATGGAGCATTTCATATCAACAATGTCATAGTGGCAACTTGATATATTCGTACTTTAAAAACCTGACGTTGAAAGTAGCAGATTTATTTATTTATTTATTTACGGCGGCGGGAGGTTACAAAAGTAAATTTGTTGGCACAATGAAATACAATACAGTAATTAATGCACGCACGCTCAGACATTTCAGAAATATGTTATACAATGTTATAACAGTGATACCTATTAGAAAATGGGTAATCAAAAACTAACAAGACATTTTTAAAATCGTTATTACTGGTTATGAAGGCTTTGTCAGCGGAAAGGCGATTCCAATCAGTGCTAGTGCGAGGAACAAAGGAGTTATAACAAGTGTGTGTTTTGTAAGTGGGGACGCCGAATTTGTACTGGTGATCTACGCGGTATGAAACATATAGGTAGGTGGAGTTAGAAGTTCACGGCGTATGGAAGGGTTAATATGGTAAATCTTATGAAATAATATCAGGCGGAATATGCGTCTACGGTTCATTAGTGTGGGTAAACCAAGGCTATTTTTTATTGCAGTAACGCTGGATGTACGATGGTAATTACAGAGTATGAAACGTGCTGCGCGATTTTGAACTGATTCCAATGTTGCCATGAGAGTGTTATGACCGGGGTCCCAGATGGAACATGCATATTCAAGCTTAGTACGTATTAAAGTAGTATATAAGAGGAGTTTTAGTGACACCGGTGACTGTGATAAATTTCCTTTGAGATATCCAAGCATGCATGCGATTGGCGTTGCTAGTTACGTAGTTAGTGTAAGTTTCACAGGAAAGATCAAAAGTTGTGTAAACACCTAAGTATTTGTATGAGGACACAGACTTCAGCGGAGTATCTTCAGTGTACACTCTGAGAAAAAAAAGTGTATTACTACACCCCTTGTCCCATATAATACACCCCAAAACTTCGATTCGACGTACAGCGCCCCTTAATCGAACAGGCGGCCCCAAAGTTTACGGGGGGCTTGATAGCCGTGTTGTACAACTTATTAAGATAGCTGATGAACGTATTATTGACTACAAAAAATACTATCGGAGTTTTCTTGGCCGTACTGCAAAAGCTCCGTGTTTTCTTTCTTTAATCTTTGATACGTACTTTAGCAATTTAATAAGTTATATCGCACCGTTATCAAGCCCCTCGTAAAATTTGGGGCCGTCTGTTCAACTTTAGGGCGCTGTACGTCGAAATGAATTTTTGGGGTGTATTATATGGGACAAAAGGGTGTACGGTGATACCCCTTTTTTTTAGAGTGTAGTAATTCGAACGTATGTTAGTATAACGGGATACTCTCATGGATTTACATCTATTAAGGTTGAGTTGCATCAACCACTTGTCGCATCAGTTAGATACGGAGTTAAGATCAGATTGGAGAACGGGGATGTCGGAGTTATTTGTTATTTCTCTATATATAGTATGCCATCATCAGCAAATAAATTAATATTAGGAGATGCATTCAAACATATCGTTTATATAAATGAGGAAAAGTAGCGGACCTAAAACAGAACCCTGGGGAACTCCAGATGCTACGGAAGAAAGTGAAGAGGTAGTACCATTGGGGGCGCGTGCACAAATTGAGAACGGTTGGTTATAAACAATTCTATCCAGCGTAGCACGTTCGGATCAATGTTGAGTTTACTAAGTTTTAATAGGAATAGCCGGTGTGAAACTTTATCAAAAGCCTCAGAGAAATCGAGATAAACGCAGTCTATCTGGGAGCCACGGTCAAGGACTGAATTAAGCTTATTAGTGAAGAGCAGAAGCTGTGTTTCGCAGGAAAATGATTTGCGGAAGCCGTGCTGAGTGGGGTGAAAAATATAATTCGATTCTAGGAAACATGCGAGGTTAGAATATTCGAAATGTTCGAGTATCTTACGAGGAATGGATGTTAAAGAAATTGTTAAAGAACATTGACCTGCGGAGCTTTAATTGTCAACCGCAATGGCAATAAAACATTCTTCTTTCGGTAATAATAATAATAATAATAATAATAATAATAATAATAATAATAAGGATAATAATAATAATAATTATTCTTTATATTTTGTGCCGACAAAGAACTTTTCAGACTCCACTCTGGTGCACTAAAACACTAAAATACAAATACCGCAAAACCTAAAATGTTAAATACAAATACCACAAAAAAGTCAACATCCATTCACGAAGAAGCAAGGTAAATTCCCGAAGACAGATGAAAATATCCAGGTGATGTCTCATACTGAAGGCCAATTGAATCCGTGACAAAGGGGATACAGGGTACATGCAAGATGGATAACGTTAATACATTCGAGCTGGCCCATGATGGAACATGGAAGTCAACGGATCGTAGTAAACCCATTGACCTGACGTGACCATGAACAACTTTATGAAGAAAAACAAAATCTCTGGACTGCCTCCTCACGGCAAGTTTATATAATGCAAAACGGCGAAGTATAGCGTTTCATAATGATAAAAAGACCTCCTTCCAATACACAAGTCTTATCACCCACTTTTGTACATTTTCGATTTTTGTTGCCTGAACAAGAGATAATGAATTCCAGATTACCGAGCCAAATTCTAACCGTGATCTAACTAGTGACTTAAACAAATGCAACAAACAAGAGCGTGATGAGAACCGCCGATATAACCGAGAAAAAATGCCTAACACTCTTAGCGCAGCATTGAGTTATAGACACGTGTTCTTTGAAAAAAGTGAACTGTCAATACGGACACCAAGATCCCTTACAAAAGATACCCTGGGTATCAAGGCGCCTTCAGGGTTGTAAGAAAAAGAAATGAATTCACGCTTTCTAGATAGTACAATATGTTTAGTTTTCTTGGGATTAAATGACAAGTGGTTTTTGAAGCACCAATTTGAAACATGTTCTATGTCAGCTTGAAGACGAGTGCAATCCAATACTGACATCACACTTAAAAATAGTTCCACATCATCGGCGAAGAGAAGAATTTTTGCGTCACTAACACAGGAAATAATATAATTTATAAACCAAATAAACAAAAGCGGTCCCAGGATGGGGCCCTTGGGCGCGGCCGGATATAGAAACAAACTCGTCGAAGTAGCTTTCTTAAACACGAACAGTGTTTCGACGACCTTTTACATAACTAGAAAACCATGCGCACAGATGTGGGCTCAAACCATGCAGAGCGAGTTTTTGTAGAAGTAAATCATGACTAACACGGTCGAACGCTTTCGACATGTCGAAATAAATGGCATCTTCCTGTCCCCTACTGGACACAATTGGCGCTGAGAAATTTAAAAATGCGCATAAGTTAGATTCTACCGATCTTCCCTTTAAAAATCCGTGCTGAGCTTCAGTTATCATCGAGCT